CCCCAAAACCCCAAAACCCCAAAACCCCAAAACCCCATCAATTGAAATACACTTATATCAATCGCGAAATTAATAATTATATGAATCTGATATTTTTAGAATTTCATTTATTATCAAAGCAAATGTTTTACTAAATCATTATCTGAGAGTTACATCCAAATTTTTAAAACTAGTCATTGAATCTCCTCAACTAATACCTTATTTACATAGAGGGCATTGTGCTTTTCGTTCAAGCCAGGACTCTATACAATCTTCATGAAAATAATGTCTTTAATCGCATTTTAGCTAGCCTACAACATCTGTTTCTATGAGATTATTCAAGCAAATCGCACAGGTAGAATTAATTCTTAAGCTTTTTGCAATTGTATTTAATTTTTTCCTTTATATTTGATTCTACATCTTGATAGCTTTTATCATTTTGTTTCATCGTTCATATTGCCTTATACGATATGGCACAGAAAAAGTTATTGTCAAGGAATAGTAAAAACATTAAATGCAGAATAGAACGATGAAACCAATAATGGAAACATATCCGATAAGTTATGTTATCATCATTAAGATCCACATTGCTCTAAACTCTTCGTTTTTATCTTTGCATTTTATGCTATTTTCAGAGTAATGGAAGGAACTACCATAAAAAATCCATATTAGTTGAATTACTAGAAAAGTGCACATGTATAAATGAATAATCTTGTAATAGCATTGTAGTCCACTATCATTCTTGAAATAAAGAAAGATGGCTAAAGCTAGAAGTAATAAAAATGTAAATCCATTAATCACTCCCTAAACAATCAACCAAGTAGATATTAATGTATCACAGCTATAATCATCAGTCTTTATGCTAGTTGCTCCTCTCATAGTTAAACCAAACGAGATCTACAAGCCACAAAATATTGCTGATAAAGCTAAAATCAAGCCATTCCATAACATAACTTTACGAAAGTTTAAATCTTGATGCAAAATCTCTATGTAATCTGAAAAACATTCACTACACGTTTCTACATACACATAATTCTCCTCCAATTATCTATCTTCCATTGATCTATTTATTCAAACTTTACTTACTCTACTCTGAATTATTAAATAATTATGGAAACATACTAATAGTTTTAAATCACTTAATTTAATTCTGATATATTTCATTAAAACTATGTATAATTTCATTTATTAATCAAACTACATATTTTTCTTTTAGGGGTTTTGGGGTTTTGGGGTTTTGGGG